ATAAGGCTCATTTATTTAGTCTTTCCCTTGTATTCCAAGGTATGTTAGCTGCACAGGCGGATCTACGGGGAGAAAGAGGGGGCTTTCGAGCTGAAGGTCCCCCCAAATGGTAAAATGTAACCATGAAAAAAATTATATTTTAAAGTATTATTCTTCGTGCAATTACATTTAATAAGACTTCAAGAATCACGTAAGTATCATTTCATATAGGTAGTTAGTATCTTTCTTTATTTTTCAAAGTAATTATCGTTATATATATATTTTGGGGGAAGAGGGCTTCAGCCCGTAAATTTTTTTTTCATATTCATATATATAAGGAAAAAAAGTTTACGGGCTGAAGCCCTCTTCCCCCAAAATTAAATCCTTGATTCACCAGTGGTTAGCTGTAACCGCATTTCATCTAAATTTGTTGGTATCCACATACAAATTTGTTAGAAATAATAAATACTACTTAAACTTTCAACCCTCTTCGAAATATTTTTCTCAGTTCCCCAGGGCTCAGAAATGTCTTAAATTCACCCAGTCTTAGTAGGAGTACTCTAAGGTACTTTTTGGGTGCCTTTTATTTTTTGTCGTTTTAACATATAAATTGACGCTTGTCAACTAACTGTTAATCAACAAATGGGCTAACCGTTGTCGAAACAATACAAATCAGACATGGAAGAGATGTACTTAATTTGAGGATGGAGTTCCAAGACGTCCAGATGGTTTACACAAAAGAATTGTATGTAAAAATGAAACAAAATACACTTAATAGACGACTTCTACTGCTTTACTTACGTTTTTTTTCCAGAAATTAGATAGCTAAATAAAACCCTCATGAACATACTCACCACAAATATATCATATGACAAAAAGCTTGTATATATAACTACTCTTCATCAACGATTTTATTACTTTAATATTTATTGATAAAGTTGATTGTTATTACTATTACCATCATTTAATACTTAAGAAATGCTTTATTCTTTGTTAAAGTTTTCTTTAATATTATAGCGGGGACTTGGTAAGGTTGTGACAATTTTCATTTAATCGTCTTCAATTTTATTAGTATACCACTTCAGCAGAAGAAAGGTTTTTTTTTATACTAAAATGTAAGCCAGACTACATATAAATACTAAAATTTGTCTTAATGTGCAATGTTTATCTCATAGCCACAGATTAGAAAAAAAAATTGGGGAAATTTCAATGGCTTATAACTAATAACTTTAACTAATATTAACTAATAGTCCTGATCACGAAATAGTACGTTTTAAAAAATTTAGAATTAAAATTTTCTTTAATACTCCGTAGGGTACAGAAGGACTAAAGGGTATATTTTCCGAACTCCAGGCCGTAAAAGTAATGATAAAGAGGCAGAGGACAATAATATAGGGTTTCTATGTCGAATGCGAAACGGACAATTCCTCTCAAACAACATTGGAAAGAAAAATGGATTCCGTAGTTCTGTGATTTAGAGTGGATTTGAATTATGGACCATTTATTAGAGATGTCAGCCGTTTATTAGTACTATTGGATAGAGATCATCTAGGAGTTATCAACATTGCCGGAAAATTATAATGGTTGATTTGTGGGGAACTGGACAATAATTTGGATTTTGGATGATCTAAAGGAAAGAAGAGGATCAAGTACGTAAGACAAAATGGAAAAGCTGGAGAAGATTTTCCTAGCTCAAGAAAATGGAGAGTAAGGATTGAGAGAGAGACGCTCCAAATACTTTGAAATCCTGAAGAAGGCAGATATCGGAGGGTAATTACCAGAAAAGGAAGAGTTTGAGGTCTCTTATTTAATAAGCGGACAATAGCTGTCTTCTAGGAAGGGGTATTGAATTTTGAGGAGAATGATTGGATGGGCCAAAATTAAATGCTGTATTTGAGAAAGTGATTGCTATATAAAATTTCCAAAATAGGATTTGTGGAGAAATGACTTAACTGAAAATTATATTATAAAACAAATGTACCACTGATCGAAGTAATAAACGGTTGATAATGTTTTTCTGTCAATTTCCGGTCAATTTTTGGATAATCATCCAACTCTACAATAATGATCATGTCCAATATGATATTTTATTGCACTATTTTGTTTTCATTTTAAATTTTTTAGAAGAGGTCTGTTATGACCTCTTTATTTATGTTTGGAATATAGCTATAATATAAGTACAAATTTGAAATGAAATAATTTGTAGGAAGAAAGTGTGTTTTAATATTTTCTCAAGGAGAAACCAAACTTAGATGAGTATTTTACAGCTATTGAAAAATAAAATTTGTTGCCTCTGGTTTTCACCAAATGAGCAAAGAGGGTTCAAACATTTCGTAGAAATGAGTAACGATGGAATTACATTTTTATTTTCTAGGAACTAAATACATATAAAAGTGAATGTACGACGAATATGCAAGGATTGAAAAAAAAAATGTTGGATACATAAAAAATTCCTCAAAATGTTCAATAAAGGTTATGGTCGTATTTCGACTCCTCGGGAATATTAGTACGATTAATTACATAAATCTCTCTATTATATAAAAACGTTTTTAATTACTTTCATATTTTATTTTATTTTAGTATTAGGAGAGTAGGGGGATTACAGAAGCTCAACTTTTCAGCTGTTCATTTAATTAAATATGTGATAATATGTGCTCCTGTAACCTTCTATTCTCCTAATACAAAATAAAGATTTTAGACTAAAAAAGTGTACAGGAAACAGTATTTATCTGGAGGTGGTAGTTAAATGTTACGAAGGTAATAGCAGTTATTTTTTTACCTATACATTTCCTCTTTTATATAATATAATAATTATTATATTGTACATGGCGGGCGGAGCTAGCCACACTTTACAATTTATACAACAGTTCATTTAATTGTACTACTTGTCTAAAAAAAAAAGTTATTGTATCTTTACAGAAAATGTTTTAAAAATGAAATTATGATGCAGGGAAAAAAAAGTTCCTGCCGTTATGCCTTCTTGGTAAGTTGAGCCTGGGACGGACTTCGCTTCCTCTATCCTCCTAACGACGCCATTATTTATAATTATTCTTTTGATCAAGCAGTTAAACCACACTATATGAATATCATTGACATTTAGCTGTTGTAGAGAGCTTCATACGAATTTATGTTTCAAAGTTACCATTATTATTAAATCAGCTGTTTTGTTTTTTATGTAATTTTAATCGTACTTTACCTTTGACATAAAAGAACTTTCAACAAACGTTCGAGGTAATCTTAATAAAAAAGAATGGTATGAGTTATAAAAGCATTACGCGTAAATTACCATTACCCTTTGTTGTTTGAACAACGCTCGCTCAAATATTTGCTACAAAGCTCATTTCATTTTAAGTTTCATTAGAAAAAGACCGGACAATGAGAGAATCAATTAAACAAAGACTCTTGACATTTCTTTCAACAATGCATTACCTGTAAAAGAATTATAATGACGAGCTTACACAAACTGCCATTACCAAGGGAAATTAATGTTTCATTATGCTCAGCGATGGAAATTTATAACCACTCTATTGATTCGTCAAAATGCATAAATTAGGAATAAGTGAAAGGCTCAAAATTAACATTAAGGAGGTAATATGATAATTTGTGCATATTAAGGAGGAAAACAATTTAGGATTGCTGAGTTATGATAATTCTTTCAATCACTGTCTCTATGACATATTATTTAATTAATTCTATAAACTTGTTATAAAATACAATGAAAAACAAGTTTTCATTGGAATTAGTGCAAAGAACTAGACATAATCAACTAATTCTTAGATAATATGGTAATTTTAAAGCTGTTGATTCTTTTAAAAATTACTTCTTTTTTTTCACGATTTCTTATCAGAAGAAACTACTGAATAAATTATCAAATCATTCATATCGACGTTATTCTGATGAGGTATATATATAATAGATAGAATGAAATGGATTTTTGTATGAATTTTTATATTTTATATGAAATGGATACCTTCGAAGTAAACGAATTATCATTTTTGGTGGACTTGCATCCGATTCAAATCTGTCGTAAATAAATTAAAAATATAATAAATATATGACGAATTGATTAAAATAGCTTACACATAAAAAAAATCCAAATCCTTTGGGTGATCCTCAATACTCTGACAAAAAAAATTATTCTATAATGACGTTAATTGTCATTTGTTGACGATTCAGCCCAATGCTGATAACTATGCCTCCATAATCAACTTCATGCCCATCCAAACCAATTAGTTCCTCAACATCTTCGATTTTTGACAATCCACCTAATCGTATAGAAAAAGAAGTGAACTTTTAAATATAGAACTATTATTGGAGAGATACCAGTGGATAATTTCTCTAAAGGTCGGTACATTATACCAATTAACATCTCCTTGTTGTATTTTCAGTTAATACAGTTGTAAATTTAATAAATATATTTTTAAAAAAAGATATTTTAACTGGTGGGCAAATGTAATGTGTTATTATTTTGTTAATTAATTATTTTTTTAATTTTAGAACCTTAGACTTGGCTAACAAAAATCTACATACTGATTTACACCTGCTAATAGTTGACAAACATATAAGAACACTTTACAAACCATTTCATCCTCATTTACACAGACATATTAACAAGAGATATGGCTTCAGCTGACATTGCCATTAATAAAAGGATACTAAAAAAGTGCTAGATGAATTGAATCAAGCCGGAGAATTGGTACTGCTGGTGCTATCATTCTCCATGCACGACATGCTATTTTCATGAAAAATTCATTTTTATTAAATTCATAAATTATTCATATCGCCATTTATTGATGCAAGTATATATAAAGTTAGAAATTTATCGAATCCTGAAAGACATTAGTCATTAAATCGATGTTTTAATGAATATTAATTAAAGGATTAAAATAATAAAACACCGAATAACATTCAGATTGAAAATATATTCTTCTATAGTTTTCAATAAATAATTCATTACAAAAATACTCTGAATCATATAATACAAGGGTCTAAATTTGACTACGATAGCTTCCTCGCGATGTCTAGAATTTTCGAAGCCTGCCGCCGGTGGAAAGCCTTGAGTGTTGCTCTGCAGAGGCCCGAGCCCTCGGCTCAAGAGGTGCACTACTGGAGATTCCTGGAGAAGCCCTAATCGTTTCGACTGCTGGCAGCTGGAGCGAAGGGGAAGGCATTATGTCCCAGCCAGTTCGGGTCACTGGAGCAGTCGGCATCACTAAGCTGGGGACCAAGCTGGCTGTGGAGCTGCTTAGCCGGCTTGGATCCAGCACTTCCACGTCGTCGTTTCCTGGAGGGAGGAGGTCCTCCCTCGAACTGGTCTTCTTCTTAGCCTCCTTCTTCATCCTGATTGACAAAAAAATGGATTAACGTATAATTGAAGAAGGTACCAAGAAAATAATAATAATATAAATCTGTTAAATTTCGAGTGTGCTCAGTGACACAGGAATCAATCAACTATTTCATAAACGTCATCATTTCATAAGCTTCTTATGGATATTAAGGAGTGCCCAGCGCTATTCTACCTGTAATGATTTTAGCATGAACTTCTATGCGAGAAAATTCCTCATCTAGCTTCTTTTGAATTTCCTAACTCTGTTATCGGGTTATATTTCTACCCAAGGAATATTTGTGACGTGCCATGCAGCGTTTGTTTTGTTTTATAAATGTTTTACGAAAAAAGTTCGTAGTCATTTTGGCTGTCATGCATATCTGTAAAGCGTGGGTTCAAATGGGTTTAAGTAGATAAAGGTATGTGTTCAGTTTCTGTTTTAGATTTTTTTTTAGACGCCTCAAGTGAAGTGAGTATAATAGTTGTAGTTTGAATTTAAACGTTCAATTTTTTTGTTGATATGTTGGCACCATTTTCTGTTAATTGTCAGCCCCAGATTATTGCACGTTGTCTGTTTAAATTTGGGTTAATGTATTAGGATTTTTCTTGGTGCAGTCGAATTTGACAAAGTTTGGACCAATAATGTAGTTTTGATAGAAGATAAAGACCGTAGATATAGAAGACAATAGTTCCGTACAATAGTATGGAATATTGTATGTGTATATTATGTATATCAGTTGAGCGAGTACTGATCTCCTGAGGAACTCCTGCTAAGGCAGAGTCTAATAGAAGAAAATTTTGAACACTGGCAGCCAAAGAAAAAAAAATCTGAATGAAAGGACTGAAGAATAAGATGATAGGTAGGAGAAAGTGACGTTTTAAGTCTGCAGAGAGCTTATGCCAGACAGTATCAAAAGCTTGAACCACATTCAGAAATATTCATAATGCAACTTCTGCCTATGTGATGTCAGTCACTCAGTGCAATTGATGGATAGTTGAATGTTGTGTCGGGGTTCCGAATTGATGGTCGGGTATTATTTTACTGTTTGTTAGTATGTTAAAAAGTCTTTTGTAAAGTGGTATCTCAAAGATTTTAAACTTATAGCTAGCAGGCTGATGGATCTGTACAATAACTGGGTATGTTTGTGCTTGGTTGGTTTGTGGATCATTGCAACCCATGTCCATTGTATAGGTAATTTAGTAGTAAAGTAATGCATTGTAAACTGACGTTTGGTAAACTAGATTTACAAAAAAAATATTTTAAAAATTATAATTTAAGATTATAATTAAAATAATTTCAGCCCATGGCTGGTACGGAGTTATGATAGTATAATAATAATTGTTTTTTTTTTATTTTCGGTTTGTCATTATCATTATCTTATCAACGTTCGAGGCTCTTGGCTCATCTTCATGGACATTTTTTCTGTTATCTACTTAATTCTTACGGGATATAGTTCATAGAAAAATAGTTATTTTTATTTCACTTTGTTATTGAAATATAGACAATCATTAAAAACCCTCTTTAAGAAATTGGACTATTCAACTAATTGGAAAATTAAAAACGTTAACATAATAGAATTAATTAAAAAATGGTTACTTATAACAAAGTTATAAACAATTAAAACTTCATAACGAAAGGATATATGATGTTTTAACAACTAAAAATAAATCTCCAACACTGTCATCACCACCTATGCCGATGACACGTGTATCCTATCAGTTAATAACGATCCTTTAATTGCATCCCAAACTCTTCAATCACATATCACAAGCCTTGAAGAATGGTGTAAAAATTGGAGAATAAAAATAAATTCCAACAAATCCCATCAAATCATTTTTACCCTCCGTCGTAAACCTATGACCTCTTGTCCTACAGTATCCTTCAATAATACTCCACTTATTCCTGTTGAGCAAATCCGCTACTTAGGACTCCACCTTGACAAACGACTCACTTGGAACCCCCATACCAGACTGAAACGACTAGAAACCGCCTGACGTTTTCGACTACTGCAGCACTTACTAGACAAACGATCTAAGCTTTCAATCAATTATAAACGACTCGTATATATGACAATAATAAGACCTATTTGGACTTACGGAATTGAGCTTTGGGGCTCCACTAAACCATCGAATTCCTCTCGTATCCAATCCTTACAATCCAAAATCCTTCGTAAAATCCTCAACGCTCCTTACTTTGTCACAAATAAAATCATCCATAAAGACCTTAATGTTCCATATGTTTCCGATCTGGCCAAATCCAGATACCTTTCCTTCCATAACAAACTGCAGAATCATCCGAATCCTCTCGTTTCAAACCTTGCTTCCTCCTCGATCCCTGATAACCCTCCGAGGCGTCTAAAAAGAAGATGGCCTCGGGATCTTCTAATATAGAACTTTAATTTGAGTTCTACCAATGGGTAGTTTCTCTTCATGTTGTACATGCCATGTTACAAATTTCTCTTTTACTTATTGTATTCTCTATGTAATACAGTTGTAAATTCCATTGAAATAATAAAAAAAAAAATAAAAAAATAAATAAATCTAACCTTAAAACTCGTTTGCACTTTAGTATAATTTTAAGAAACCACGTTATCATAGCTTTGTCTTCAGTATCAATTTTTTGATGTGATTTTCAACGAAAATAAAAAAAAACGCCAAATCTCTGGAATGAGGAGTGTATACCTCCTTTCTGCAGGCAAAGTTCGTGTTTGCAGAACAAATATAAGCAAATCCCTTTCTCTAGTTACTGTTTGTTTTAGGTATCATCAAACATCAGAAATCCCGAGTCAGTGTCTCTTGTCTCTGGGCTTGCTTGAATATAAAATACTAACGACATTTAAAGACCTCTTTTTAAATATAAGATGTCTGACTGGTGGCTTAATTTTTATCTCACAATAATTTAATTTACAGTGTTATTTATTTTTATTTTAATTGGATATGTTTTAAAGATATAATTTTTTTTCAGAAAACTAAATTCACAAAATTATGCTTTTCCAAAATTATTGAAATCATCTTTATACCATCTTCTAACTTCAAATTTTTTTATGGTGAATCTAAAAGACGGGTGTTTAAATATGTTGAAAATAGCAGATCTGAACAGGAACTTTTACATTAACTAAAATAAACATATGCAAGAGCAATATTAGACCAATTCGAAAATTAAAAATACCTTCTAGACAAAATACAAACCAGTGATAAATAGATTCATGCCCAAAATGTCAAGGACATATCCCATTGAAAGCCAAAAATCGTTTTTGAAACTGATTGAAAAATATATAAATTTCGATTTCATATACACAGATGCCTCCAAGGAAGGACACATTGTAGTATATGCTGTAACAGTAAGGAAAATCTACTATTTAGAGAGCTACTATTTCAACTGCCAGGTGAATGCTCCAAATTCAGAGGAGAGGCGACTGCCAACCTGATAAGCCTTTATTTTATAAGAGACTCTAGCAAAAAGTGCTGGGTCATTGTAACCGACTGTCTTAGCCGCCATCAACAACCTATTCCCAAGCAATTCTGTAATTAAAGATACAATAAATGTAGGGTGGGAATTAGAAAACAAGAGTATATCAGTAATCTTCGCATGGGTACCAGACCTCTCGGGAATTATGGGAAACGAAAAGTAGACCAAGTAACCCATTTAGCTATAAATGAAAAAGAAACGGCGGTGATGAGATAAAAGGAAGTTACCTTAGAAGATTGGGTGCACCACACAAAGAAAACACTACTAGGAGATTGAGAGAAAGAGTGGAAACTGACAGACGTAAAACCTTGTTGCGGCAAATGGCTCACAATATCCAGACGTTCGAGACGAAAATTAAGTTATGCTTTGCTGCGTTACGATTGGACACTGCCAGGTCTACTACATTATATTATTACCATGGCTACCTTCTGAGAGGACTCGAAGAACCCAAGCGTGAAAAATGTTATAACAAACCACAATCAGTCAAACACTTACTAGAAGAATGTCCTCAATTTGAAAACAACAGAAGAAAACTATGCTTAGGAAAAACATCAAGATAAATCCTACAGGATACTGAAGAGCGAGTCACTACTATGTTAGAATTTTTGAAAATAACATAATACTAAAAAATAATATAAATTATGGTAAAACGTCAATGATCCTAGAAGGAAGAGTCCAGAAAGAGAGAAAAAAAATTACTAATGAAATAATAAAGATTAGTGCTTTTAAAGTATAATTTATTCATCAACTTAATTTAAGAAAAGTTTGATTAAAATAAATGTTTTTACTTTGAGTAAGCAAAAGTTATCAGACATTTGTTTCTTGATGATTGGATTCATAAAGACAAAAGTATGCCCAAATACCAACTTACAATTTTCTTTAATTGAATTGAAGAAATGTATGACGTCGGAACTTAATTTCTGTAAGTGGAGGGTGTTTTTTTATTTTTATTTCATCGAGCAATACATCATTAGGTATCTATAAAGATTTTCGATATTTTAACAATATATGGAATCAACAAAGCTTACAGAGAACTTAGTTGAATTTTACCGTATTGTAGTTTCTTACTTTTTTTTGTATACATATATAAAGGCAATTACAAAACGTCGAAATACTTATTTATCTAGATGTTTTATATGTATATGTATATATTTATATATATATGTATATATGTATATATATATATATATATATATATATATATAATATATATATATATATATATATATATATATATATATATATATATTTTATATTATTATTATTTTTCTTTTGGCATTACAGACCATGTAGATCCTCTGTCGCTTTAATCAGCCTTCTTTTTAATTTTGGGTTATTTCTCTGCAGATATCAGCATGCAGCTCCATTGTATCTTTGTTTATTGTATCTATCCATATGGGTTTTGGCTTATCACGTGGTCTTTTGCCTTCTATGTGGTTGTGTAGAGGCTTCCAGATGGATTGTCCTAAGCTACAAACCCCGCCCACCATAACCTCCTTGTTTTCATAACGTGAGATATTTGTATATAAATTAGATTGTAGTTATTGTGGAGCCGAAGGTTTTTTACATGTATACAGTGATGAATGACTTAGAATTCATGCAGATATTAGAATATGCAGATTAGATTAGATTGTTCGGCCAACAATCATATATTTTGTTTTATACTCATTTATTTGTAGGTCAATTTGGTCTGTTTCTTTTATCAGAGACCGAGCGAGTCTCTCAATCCGCGTATGCTGGGGTTTTATATTTCATTCCGACCTGCACACCTCCATCTTCGCGTGATATTATTCTTTTATTATCATGATGTCGTTCTTATATTACTACCTTTCCATATGGTTAACTATATATAGAACTATATGGCTAAGTTGAAAAACATCGGCGAGATTCCATTTCTTCACCTCAAACCTGCTCCAACTTAAAAGGGACTCAGATGTATCCACACGCCTATGCAAGCTCACTAATTTCCCGAGAACACCCAGCACTTCCATGATCTTCCAAAGATAGTTTCCGTCCACCGAATCATTGGCTGCTCGAAGGTCGACAAATAAGACGCCCTGTTCTATTTTCTGGAGTACCTGTTTCAGGATGTATATCTGATCTAGAGTGCTCCTTTCTCTATTGAATACTGATTGATGGTCGCTTATTATTTCTTTATATATGAATACTACATATAATATCATCTGGTTTAAGTTATTTGAATAATTCAAATTTTACATGAATATTTCAAAAGGAATCTATATTTATTGTCTAAACAAGCAGATGATATTATGTCCTCAAATCCTGTTTCTTTTTAAAAAGCAAGTACCCACATAATATGCAGGTGGGTTCTTCTAAAACTCAAAAGTAGAACGAAAACTAAAATGTTTACTTATGTACTGATTTTTATTAGCTACTTTTTATATTCTAATATAGAAATTCATAAGTTTGTATTGATATATTCCTTAATTAACCCTGAGTATAAATAAATATTTATCTTCCACGTTCTATTCACATAAAACTTTTGACTTTTTTTATTGATAATTTAATTTTTCTTTGTTACCAACTTAAAATTAAATGAAATTTAATGATGATTAAGTTAATTCTTTCTATAACTATTGGTCAAGAGAGAGTAATTCCTTGTCAAGAAATAAAATGATAAGGAGCTAGAGCATTGCCGGTCTTAGGCTTTTGGCACTCCTAGGCCACTATGTCATCAGCGCCCCTTTTTCTTCCCATCTTCCCCCCTCCCTCCCGAAAAAAGTGATCAATTTAAAATTAATAACTGAAGTTGTTCTATATTATTTTTATATAGTATTTATTCAATTTCGTTCAATACGCTTCCATTCAGTTTTAATGAAATTAATAAGAGATTGTCTTTTATTTTATACGGTTCTTTGGCACTGAATTCAATATCGTTTATGGATTACAGTTGAAAATCTTAATATAAATATATATATATATATATATATATATATATATATATATATATATATATATATATATATATATATATATATATATATATATACAATAATAACTGCTGGTAATTTAATTTTTGTTTAAAAGACGTTCCGTCTGCAATTACCTGTACAGAACGACACCTGCAACACAGACACCAGCTCCGACGACTATCAGCATCCATTTGACCACATCAACCAGGCGCAAGTTGGTGAGAAGGTTCGCTTCGAGAAAACCCATCAGCTCATCACCAAGATCTAAGTTCTAAAATTAAATTAAAAAGAATTAATGATTTTTTTATTATTAACAAAAAATATTTCAATGATTCATACATAAATCTATTTATTTACATTATAATCTAGGGCGCATTATTATACATTATACAGAAGCTTAGAAATTGTTTCCATTATATTAGCCTTAGTAGAAACTCCTCAGGGGTCAGTACTAGCTCTACTGTTATACATCTTAAGCAAACACGATATTATAAATAGTAACTATTAAAGCTGTTTACACAGAGGTTGCAACAATCCCAACGAAACAAGAAAATGCTACACACTCCTCATCGATTTGTTTAACAAAACTATTGATAGAAACTTTGGAAAATTCGACTGAACCAATATAAATCCCAACACATTACTTTCTTCCTTCAATATAAATCGTACCATCCTATTTACCTCAACAATGTCCAAATTCAACATATACCTTGGACTGCCATTTTACAGAAGAATGACATGGGAGCCAAAGATCATTAAAAGAAAACCGTTAAAATAATAATACTACTCAGACTACCACTAGTAATAATCACTTCTTCCAAGACAGACACTGATATTTACCTAATCAATCCCCTCCTGTTTTACAGGTTTTACACAGATACGAGTCAGAAAAAGTCAGAAAGACCTAGAGTCGTAAACAACAAACTTTCCATGACTAAAGCACCATGGTACATTACAAATACTGCTATTCAGAACGACTTTCACCAATATTTAACAATCAAGACGAAATACAATGGATTTCACGATAACTAATATGGAGCGAATAACACACTCGTACAAATTATAGAAATCGCAATTTCAAATAAGACGCGTAAGGAGCTCAGCAGAATCTGGTTGAGTTTAAATATTAATACAAAATTCAAAATAGGAAAGATGCCGCTGGGCAATCCTCTACTTTATACCTATCAATGCCCGCCTTACTACTATTACTCTTCCCTACAGCAGACTCACTGGTTGTCAGTATTTCTGGCAGGTATGTGTGAATATATAATCCGCGATTCAGACTCCTTTTTACTAAATTATCAACATCGGTTTGGAAGTTCGTGATTGGCTTCATCTTTTCGTAATCTAAAATATTTTTATCTACGAAAATTCTCAGAAATGGGACGTTTTCTAACATCGTTACATAATTTAATAAATAGTGATAAATATTTAGGTGATTAATGTAGTAGTCAGGTAATTAGGGTGGTAAATAGTCAGGAGACAGCAATTTTTAGCGTTTTTATTAATTCCAACGTTTCAACCCAATAAGTACCAGAAGATAACATACATTGAATATGGGTCATTATCAAGGCTAAATATTGTTTAATACAATCAGATATATAATATTTTAAGACAGATAATGACTTTGTTTATCTGCCTTCGCTCTCTTAAAAGCATATCTGAAAAATCCTTCCCCAACCCTCTTATTTACCTTGCCTACCTGGTACCAGTACTTGAACACCTTCGGTGCTCGAAACACGATTAGTACGAGTAAATATTACATTTCTTATAACTTAATTATATACATTATTTTTATTTTTTATAACTTATTGCATATTTCATTTGTCTATTTCATGTATTATCTATCACTATTTTTAATTGTTAACCATTATCTGTCTTAGAATATTATTTCTCTGATTGTAATGGGAAATTTTCAGTTCTGATGACCCACATGCTTGGGTTGAAACCTCGGCACTAATAAAAACCTTAAACATGACTGCGTCCTGACTATTTATCACCGACGATATGTAGAACAGTCACTTCCTTTAGTAATAATTTTATGTGGTAATAAAAACTCATTAATATCCAATTGATTTTCAGTTGAATCTTAAAAGTTGGCTGACTAAAATATTTAGTTCGTTGTTCTTAAAGGGGGGGGGATGGAGGTTACACTAAGCTGCAATAGTTTTATAGGCCACCTTTTTTCACGATTTTTTAATTCATTAATGATTCAAGTGGAAAGCAGATGGGCATTCATAAGTTTTTAGCACCTCATCAACTAGACAAAGTTTACCCGTCTCTAGATTGAAAACGGTCCATACCTCAGAATTTTTTTTATTAAAAACGTTTCAAGCAGATATTAATAATTTGAAAAAAAAAAGAATATCTACAGCGGTATAACTTAAAGTTAAAAAAAAAGTCTAGGGTACTTGCAAAGCTCTATGATTATAATGTTGGAAAAAATATTGGATTTAGCACTTCAGAGGCCTTAATACTGAATAAATAGAATAATAGTATTTAAATATATAATTATATTTTATATATGATAAATAATTATATTTTAGTTAAATACATTTTCGATAAGCACATACTGTTTATGATCAAACCAAAGTCAGAATATTTGTGTTTTAGAATTAATAATTGCATTATAGCATGAACTGTGTATATTAATTTGTTTATATCAAACGATCTATAAATATTTATGTAGCTCTAGTTTAAATAAAATTTAAATAAAGGAGTAATAAGATAAAGTTTTTTTTGTCTTAATTTAGGCATCAAGTACTATTACAATACTTAATTATGTTATATGTTAATTAAAAAATAAACTAGTGATTAATTATATGGAATTAATTTATAGTCAAAACTATTACAAAATATGACTATAAAGAGCAAATAAGTACAAGGAGATATCATGCATTGTATCGTAATACTTTGTTACATTTACTGTTAACATATTGAATGTTATATATACTTTACCTACAACAATTTTCGACCTTAACATCATGAAAAACATGGTTCACAAATATGAGGTATTTTCTTAGATTATCTATGTTAATATAGATAATACCTCATAATAAAATATATTAATGGAAATATATATATATATCATTCAATATCTACAACGGAAGTATACATAAAAAAATTAACAACAGTATGAAAAAAAAAATATCTTCGGATAATGGAAGTTTGTTCAGTCATTTAAAACTTTTGAACAATAAATACTTTATTATTATTTTTAGGGAACATTTTATTTTTTTAAGGAAGTAATATAAAAACTAAAACTTTTTTTTACTCAGGCAGGATTTCTAAATTAAATTCCTCTGTGGAGCAAGGAATGATGCCTGGACTTCTAAAACAAAAGTTATGCTATAAGAAGGGAAGGATTCATTTGGATCCTTTGCAAACAGATTTGGCTTGAAGTGAAATAAATTTTAAGTTGCTAATGTTTTTTTGGGATTATATTTTAATCATGAAAGTAGAAGAGTGGAGGGGGAGAGAAGCAACTTCTTCCTTAAGATAAGATGTAATAAACCCATTCTTGTGGAATTTCCCTTTATATACCTAATCTACCCAACTTTAATCTATATTACTCAAAGGCTTAATTTGCAACATTCATCACTTCTTTCATTAGTATTTAGAAAACTAAATAATTCAGATTTATTTCGTGATAAGAATTAAAGGTAAAAGCATTTTCATTTGAATAAATACTTTTTAATATTCGGTTAGTTAGATATATAAATCAAAAAATTATACAAAATACAAAGTCATTAGGAAATTAGGTTAAGGACTAGTTTACAATATCATATCGGTTTTAATGTTCACAGAATTTGTGGATTGACAAGTGTAACATTTTCAAAGCTACTTTTGACACTCCCAAAAGTCTCAGAACTACTATCTTTAGCAGAGCAAAAATTATATCATCGGCCAAACATCAAATGAAACTAACAAATATATCACAGTTCTGTCACCTCTAGTCGTAGGAATCTTGTTTTAACCTCCGATTTTTTTAAAAATTAAGTATTAAAAATTTTGCAAGTTTTCTTTTTCTTTTTAACGTAAATAAAATTAACTTCAATAATTTTTCAAAACATTCCCAAATTGACGTATAAATAACTCTTGAGAAACGCCAGTGGGCGGCAAAAATGCCGATAATGGTTGTTTGGGTGTTTCAAAAACAACTTTAAAAAGTTTTGACTTGTCAATGTACAATTTTTAAGAACATTTAGAGTGATTTGAGATTGAAAACTGATTCTTATCCTGATTTCCTAATGACTTTGTACTTTGCCATACATCTGGCGTAAATAAAACAATAACAAAAAAAGGAAAAATAAGGAAAGTAATAGTTAAACAAGCTATATACAAAAAAAAAAAAACAAATGAATCTATATACAAAACACTTAAAACTATGTACAGCAGGAAAAATTATAATTATACAGTTTTGAGAAAAAAATAAATTAAGCTCTTTAAAATATCCTCTGTGTTTCTGCTAACAAAGGAAAGACGAATCTGACAATATAAAATGACAGAGTATTTAAATAATGAATAATATGTAAACACATTATTATCTTATTGTAATTATAGGTACAGATTTAATTGTATAAGAATAATAAATAATAAAGAAACAAAAATGTTAGTGGTACAGGTTTTTTTATTTTATTTTTATCGTATAATTGGAGGCAGTATGAAATACATTAAGTCAAAACGTTTTATTTATGTTTATATTATTATTTTATTTTCACTTAAATATTACGCCCTGCAATCAATTTTATTTTTTTCTACTCGAAAATGTATTCAACTCGAAATTTAATTTTATTATTCCACTCGAAATTTTCTTTTTTTTTTCACTACTATAGTCCATGGTACAGACCCTATATTTTTTTTTTTTATAAAATTATGGACATCCACCTGAAACTTTGTAAGTAGCTTCATCTAATCGTAATCTACAATTATCTTAATTACGTTTGGAATTTTAAAAATCTTGGAATTGGTGCGTTTTCAACCTCTATTTAATTAGGTACTAAAAACTCATAAATGTCCATTTGCTTTCAACTTGGATCGTAAGATAATTTGTTCACAAAATCGTGAAAAAAATGTGGCCCACAAAAATATTTATGCATTTGGGCTATACAACCTCTTTATTTTCACATTTTGAGGGTGGTTCACGCCAAAGGGTCCAATATTTTTGTAAGCCACTTATTTTCTCGATGTTGTGATCAAATTATCTAACGATCAAAGTAGAAAGCAAATGTGTATTTATGATTTTTTAGTACCTAATTCAATAGACAAAGT